CAGCCAGTGCGTGTGGTGCAGGCCCCGGTGCGGCCCCAAGATGTTCGGGTCCCTGGAGCCTGAGAACGGGACCTTGTACAGCGACAGCATCTGTGCAGGTCGGGTGCGGTCCAGCATCTTGAGGGACAGAGGGGATCCTGGATGCCTGGGGGGCCCTGCGTGTGGTGACGGGTGGTGACAGGCATCCTCGTAAGAGGCGGGGCATGTGACCGTGGAGGCAGAGACAGGGCAGTGTGGCCACCAGCCCAGGGACACCTGGTGCCCCAGCAGTTGGTCAAGGACAGAGCCCCTGTTGCCCCAGCCCTCCCCACCCAGGGTGACCCCCTGCCCATGACTCAGCGAGGTCCATGTACAGCTCGGTATTCCTGCCTGGGGGACCGTGGCACCGAGTGCCGAGGCCACGGGGGAGGTTCAGTCTCGGCCTGGAGCCGGGCCTGGGGGGGCAGCTTGGGCTCACTGCACCCGTGACCTGGACAGACTCCTGCTGGCCGAGAGCCTCAGCGACCCCATCAGGGGCTGTGACCTTGCTCCATACTCCAGGGCTGCCCGGGATGCAGGGCCAGTGGCACGGCCCAGAACCCCTGGAGAAGGCAGGGCACCTCGCCCCAGACACCCCTGCCTCATGTGGGGTGCGGGACCCCTGCTGCGCGGGGCTTACAGGAAGCACCAGCAGGCACGGGCTGGGCCAGCAAGAGGACCTCGGCGTCCCTGCTGGGCAGGGTTGTCCCCTACCCTGGGGACAGCCCCGCAGGACCTGAGGCCACCCCCTGTGGGAGTCCGGTGCTTGCCCTTCGTTTGTTGGGGGTCGTCCTTTGGAACCTTCCTTCAGGGCAACATTTGTACAGGGAGAAGCCCCCCCATACGGCTGGGGTTGGACATCAGCACCTAATCTGTTGAATCCCACGTTCAAGACCCTGTCCAACCTTGGGCTCGAGGTCACTGTGACAAGCCCCTCGTTTCTGTGCCGGTGAAGGTCCTGTCGCAGCCGGGCAGGACTCTGATCCTCGCTCTGCCCCCCTACAGCCGCCGCTGTCCACCAGGGCCACAAACGCCTTGACTTCTGAAAAAGTTTACAGTTGTGGTAAAATACACATAAAATTGACCACGGTGGCCACGTTGAGTGCACGTTCACAGCGTTGTGTAGCCGTCCGCAGTGTTGGTCCCCAGAGCTTTCCACCTTCCCAAACGGAAACGCCACCCCTCATGAGACACCGACCCCCATCCCTCCCCCAACCCTGGTGACCACCGTCCACTCTCTGTCCCTGTGAATCTGGGGACTGCAGGGACCCCATGTGAGTGGGTCCCCTAGGACTTGTCCTTCTGTGTCTAGTTTCCTCCTCTCACACACGAGCTCTTCCTGGGCCGACCGGGCTCAGGCACATTGTCCTCACACACCCGGTGAATTAAGCCTCCTGGCCCGGCATGGCTCACATCCTCTGTGACCACCTTTCAGCACTCTGGAATTGCAGTTTAAAACCTGGGGGCCCCGAGGGCCCCGGGAGCAGCCTGTGCTTTCTGTGTGCGGGGTTCGCGTGAAGGATCGCTGACGTCACCGGGAAACGTCTGGGGCGGACAGCTGCTCCCGGCCGTTGGAGACAACTCCCCAGGGGCTCACGGCTTTCCCGACGGCCCTCCCGGGGGGCACAGGGGAGGGCTGTGGCCCCCGCGCCCTGGAGTGCCCCCTGCTGTCTTGGCCCCGGGCCCTGGCGCACCTCCTGCATTCCTTCCCGTTCCCAGCGCACCTGGCCGCTGCAGGTGCCCCAGTGATGACCGATAACATTCAGGACGTCCCTCCGGCTGGCGCTCGAGGCCCCAGCCCCCGGCCAGCGGCACAAGCAGGCCATTGTCCCTCGCGGCACGGAGCTGCCACCGCGCTGGGGGCCAGCATGGCCTCTGGGGTTTGGCGTCCCTTGTCCCCCCAGCCAGGCTCCCATGTCCTGACCCAGAAAATGGGTCGGGTCCCTCCTTTCCCAGGGCTGCAGTCTGCCAGCCCTTGGGGTCTGTGGCTACGGGCTGGGTCGGAGAAGGGTCTCTGCCCTGCAGAGACCAGACGGGGTGTCGGGCACCCCGGGCCGTGAGCGCCCCCCCCCACCCCGAGGGCAGAGGCTGTGTGTCAGCATCTCGGAGGCTCCGAGGCCCACCCAGTACAGGACGGAGTAGACAGATGCACGCTGGGTTGAATGGTTCTTTTTTTAAAAATGCTACCTATTTGAGGGAGTGAGAGAGAGAACACAAGCAGGGGAAGAGGGAGAATGAGAAGCAGGCTCCCCGCGGAGCAGAGAGCCCGAAGTGGGGCTCCATCCCAGGACCCCGAGGTCATGACCTGAGCCGAAGGCAGAGGCTTCATGAACTGAGTCCCCTTAGGGGCCCCATTGGTGCATGATTCTTTCTGAAACTAGCAGCGTGTGTTAAAATGCGTGATGACCTCTGGAGGCTTCAGGGTACAGCCGGGCTGGGGAAGAACCCCGCGGGGCCGTGCACCACCCATCCCCTGACCCTCCAAGGAGAGTACCTTGCAGCAGCCCTGGGAGGGGCTCTCCAGGCAGGGCCTGGTCCTGGCTGGCGGCCATCCCGGGCCCAGAGCCTCTATCTGTGCAGGGTCCCCCTATAACTCTGGCGGGGAGCTTGGGGTGAGGACCCCCTTCCTGACCTCCCCTCGGGGCCTGAGCCCAGGAAGGCTGCTTGCCTCCCGACGGTGCCCCCCACCTCTGGGCTCCCTGTGCTTCCTGAACACAGCCAGGCCCTGAGCGCCAGGCGGATGGGCCCCTGGGGCGGCTGGCTGCCCACCGCGGCGTCCTGGAGCTGGGGTGCGTGGCGCCCTCCTGCGGGGCCTCCATGCTCCCGCCTGGTGTGCTCCTGGAGATCTATTGCTTATGTCTCGTGGCTGAGCACATAGGGATGGTGATGGCCAGGTGTGGGCTGCCGCAGAGTCCCCGTGTGCTGTCGGGGAGGGGGACCCGGTGGCTGGCTGGGATGCGGCCTGGCAGGAACAGGGCCCATCCCGATAGCCTGAGCATCCTGAGATGCCTCAGTGGGTCCCCTTTACCCCCAGCTTCGGGAGGCAAGAAGCCCTCGGAAGCCTCACAGATGTCGCTAAGATGGCAGTGGGAGGGGCGGGACAGAGGAGGCAAGGTCTGGGAGGTCAGAGCAGAGCTGAGCTACGCGGAGGGTGGGGGGGTGGGGGGTGGGGAAGGGCGGGGGGGTCCCCTGCCCTTCCCCGCCCCTCCCCGCCCCTCCCCAAGGGCTCAGCCTCCAGAGGGGCCCAGCTGTGCCTTGTTGTCCCCTCCCGTGGCTCCAGGAAGTGTGGGGCCCCCAAGCCTGGGACCCCTGCCTGGAACACTTGTCGGGTGACAACGCGGGGACAGTCCAGGACTCTGGTTACTGGTTACCAGGTGGGATGTGGCAGTGGCACTTCCTGGGGCCCGACACGGAGGGAGGGCTACACCCCCGCAGGCTGCAGGAGGTGAGGGCACAAGCACTCAGTGCTGGTCCCAGGCCCGGTGCGTGAGTCCCTGCTCCGATGTCTGGCTGTGCTTGCTGCCTCTGGTGGCCCTGTGAGCCGGTGGCCCAGGGCCCTGGCTCCTGTCGATGGCAACACCGAAGGCTCCACCCAGGCCATGTGGCCGTGGAGGGGCTGTGGGTGGGCGCCATGTCTCCTTTGTGTGGATGCTTCCTTGGCCCCGTCCACGCCCCGAGATCTGGGAGTGGGGCTGGCTGGGTAGTGGGACTGGAGAGCTCTAGGGTGAGGCTCAGGAGCACGAGGCCCTTTGCCCTTCCAGCCCATGGAAGGTGAGCTCCGAGCCCGAGCGGGGGTCCAGCCGCAGACGGGCGCTCACACTCCATCGGCATTCGCCGGTGTCCCTGTGAGACTGAAGCCCCAGCCAACTGACCCCCACAAAGGGCTCCAGGTGGGAGACCTGGCTGTATCTGTTAGAGTGCTTTCTGGGGGGCTGGGGGGCTGGTTCTCCTCGGGGAGGCCAGGCAGGACGAGACTCGCTCCTTCCCAGAGGGTGAGAGGGCCGGCAGAGCTGAGGTGGTGCAGAGCGTGGCTGTGCACGGTCCCTGGCAGGAGGCGCTGTGTGCTCAAAGACCCAGAGTCCTGAAGCAGACTCAGGAGAGCCCAGGAAGGTTGGCGCGGCAGGGACAGCAGTGGGTGCAAAGGCCCCGAGGCAGGCAGAGTTGGGAAGAAGGGCAGGAGGAGGTGAATCATCTGGGCTCAGCGTGATGTTGTGCTAGGGGGAGATGCTGCTGGCTCACCTGGGTACTTGAGGGGGGCTGTGAGGTCCAGGGTGGAGCCTGATGGGCGGCAGAGAGGGGTCGGCTGGGATCTGGCTTTGCAGGGGGAGCTGCTCAGCCTGCATGGGGAGGGAGGCACTGGTGGCAGGTGTTGGCCAGAGCGACCGGAGGACAGGGTGTGGCCTGAGAAATTGGGGCTGAGCTGGTGGGGGGTGATGCAGGGGCTTCTTGGTGGGCACAGGATAGGCATGTGGCAGTAGGGGTGGACTGGAAGTCCCCGGGAGCAGGATCTCAGGGTGGGGAGAGGGCTGGCAGTCCGTCCCCGCCACGCTGTGTTCCCTCCTGTCCCGTCTGAGAGGGATCCCCTGGATGACTCCCCCAGAATTGGCCCTCCCCCGGGCAAGAGGAGGGCTGTGGGGGCCCTGTGACAACCAGGGATGTGGGGGACATCCTCCAGGCCTCTGGTCCCTGGTGACTGCCAGTCGTCTTCCTGTTCTGTCTCCGTGGCTTCCCATTAAGGGAGCCACACAACATGTGGCCTGTAAGCGTGGCTTCTTGGCACCAGTCTCTAAGGTCTGTCCCGCGGTCCTGGGGGTCCAAACTGGTCCTCCATGGCCAGGTGGGTGGGCCCCGCTCTGGGCACCTGGTCCCCGGCTGGCGGGCTCTAGGCTCTGGGGTGCTCCGAGTTCTCGGACCGTGGGGTGGGGGGGCAGGGCGGGCAGGCTGGCCGCCAGAGCTGACCGCCGTGTCCTCCTGCCCCGCAGCTTCCTCATCGTCCTGGTCTGCCTCATCTTCAGCGTGCTGTCCACCATCGAGCAGTATGTCGCCCTGGCCACAGGGACCCTCTTCTGGATGGTACGTAGCAGCTTGAGGGGCTGTCCCAGCTGCTGGGGCTCTAGTCTCCTGGGCAGGTGGGTCATGGGGTGGACTGAGCTGCTCCTGGCCTTTCTGGCCTGCACAGTGACCCTGTCCTGGCGTCCCATCTGCTGGTCAGCTGCTGTGGGCAATGGGAAACTGGAGGTGTGGGGACCCCTACCCTGACCCCTACATTTCCTAGGATGTGGCAGTTCGGCTCGGATGAGAGGAGCCTGGGAATGGTGGTCTGGGAGAGCTTCCTGGAGGAAGGGGCTTCTGAGCTGGGCTGGGAAAGGACAGCTGTGGGCACAGCTTGCCAAACCTGTGCTGCGGCCCCGTGTCTGGGTGACTGCTGACCTGGGCTGTGGCAGCACACTGACCCTGGGCTCTGCCCAGGATGCCCGGGCTGCCTGGCTGGCCCCTTCCACAGGCCTGCGTCCATTCACCCTGACTTAAGGGGCCGTCGTCACTGTAAACCAGAAGTCCAGATGCACACGGGTCTGCTCGGAGACTCTCCTGTCCTGGGGCAGGTCTGACCCCCGGGGGCCATTCTGCTTCGACGGCCTGACTGGCCTTGCTTGTTCACTCTTCGAGGTGACTGTCACCATCCCCCACGCACCTGGCGTCAGGACCAACATGACAGCATCTGATGGACCCCTCTGGGGACGTGATGTCCGTCCGGGGTGAGGTCTTCCTGTCCACGATCGTGGTGTCTGTTTGCCTGGAGGCCTTAGGGTTTCGTGATGTGGGTCTAAGGTGGTCTCTGTGATGGTTGTTCCCGGGGACACTCATCCTTCCTCCCCGCGGCCACCAGAAGGGGCTCACTCTTCCATCAGGTTCTCCCTCCCTCCCTCTCCCCAACTCCCCTCTCCCCCATCTCCCTTCATCTCCCCCCCCCCCCCCCCGGTCTCTCTCTCTCTCTGTCCCTCTCTCTGCGTGTTGGAAGCCCCGGATGGCTGTCCCCGTACAGTGTGGTCGGCTTGCTGGCGGTGTCGGTCCTCTGGTCCCGCAAACTTTCCCGGATGTGGGCTCGGCGCGGGGGGCCCGGCGGCTCTGGTGGCTGCTGGACGGGCTGGCTTTCCCGGGTGGCCTGGGGCTGGCAGGGTGTGCACGTGCTCGTGTTTGGGGGTGACCTTCCAGTCCTACGTGAAGGTGTTGACTTTTGTCAGCTGTTTCTCGTGTCCATGGAGATGGTGGTGACGGCCGGTGTCCGTGGGTGTCTGCTGGCCGTCCCGCCGTACGGCCTCTGTGCTCCTAGACTGTGCTTTTCTCTGTAAAAGCGCGGCGAGCTTGCCGTCAACAAGCAGGGCAGGGCGAGTGCCGGGCTTCGGGCGGCGGCTCTGCTCTTCCTCCGGGTCCTCGGGTCCCGGGGACCCACGGAAGCTGCCACAGGTGCAGCCTGGCCTGAGGTCCCGGGGCCGCAGTGTCCTGGACAAGGCGGACCGCTCCTACGTCTGGGCACCGTGTCAGCCGCCACCATCCTAGAGGCGGATGTCCCCAAAGCCTGCCCTCATGGGCCCTGGTGCTGGCCAGGGAGTGGGGTCCATCTCCCCAGCAGCTGAGGGCTGGGCGGAGCTTCTCGCCAGCCCAGGGAGGGGACGGTCCTTCCCAGCCGCCGGCCGGCCGGGGAGCTGCTGGTGGTGGGGAGCAGGGAACGTGGGAGGCTCTCTTCAGCTCGTCGCACAGCCCACCGAGGCTGAGGCAGGGCCTGCAGGTGCCACTGGGGGTAGGGGGTAGGACAGCCTGGGGAAGCCACCAGGTCTGGCAGCTCAAGACCCTCGCAGTCACGGCCTGCACCCCGATATGTCTGTGGGTGTGTTCCTTGTGCTGGGCATGGAAACCAGACCGCCAGGGGCTTACGCCCAGGACAGTCCCGTCACGGCTGGCAGGGGCGGCCCTACTCTGGTGTGTGCGGGCCTCCACTTTGCTCTTGTCGGCCGGGAGCAGCTCCCTCCCTGACACGGATTCTCGCATTCAGGGCTCAGAGTAGTTATGTCCTGGGGGATGCCCAGAGCTGCTGGGGTGGGGGGCAGCTGAGGGCTCCGTTCTCCTCCTGACAGCTCCCCTATCCCACCTGCCCCTTCAGCACCCAGCAACCCCCATCACACCCACCCTCCAGCGTCCCAGCAGCCCCCAGCATCCCGGCAGCCCCCCAGCAGCACTCCCAGCAGCCCAGCTACCCCATCCCAGCTGCCCGCTCCATCCCCACACCCCCAGCATCCCAGCTGCCCCCCACCCTAGCCGCCCCCACCGACCTCCTCTGCCAAGCCTGTGATCACAGCATTTCTGAGGTGCGCGTGCCACCTGGTGGCCATTGTCTGAACTGCAGGCATAGTTCCCCAAGCTCAGGATGGGGGCACAGCTTGGACTGGGGAGGGGAGAGGCGTGCGGGCCGGCTCCTGTACCCCTTCCTCTGGGGCCCAGAGTGGGTGTGCCAGTGAACAGGTCCCCTCCCCCGAGCAGAGAGCCTGCTCCTGCTGTGTCCCACCTTCCTTCTTCCCCTTGGGGGACGGAGACCCCATGCAGCCTCCCCGGTCCCCACCTCCTGTCCCTCCAGACGCCCTCTCCACATGACAGCCTGCTTCGGGCGGGGTGGGCAGTGCATCCCAGAACAAATCTGACCATTCCCCAAGCTCTCGCTCATAATAAACTTGACTTCTCCCTCTGGATCTCCAAGATGTTTCACACTTGGCAGCCCTGTCCCCATAACTCTGTCCTTCCCTCCCTCTACCTCACTCTCTCCCTCCGCTCCAGTGCACTGTTTGCGGACCCGCGGGTGGTCCTTGCTGCCTCCGGGCCTTTGCATGCACTGTGTTCTTGGCCTGCTGTTTCTTCGACATGTCGCACAACTGGCTTCTCCTCTGGTTCCAGGTCTCAGAGCGGCTGTCGCTGCTTCTGAACCTGCCATCTGGGGCTTCCCCGTTCCTCCGTCCCAGGACACTGCTCTTTCCCCGTTTGGGTGTGCGGTGGGTGTGGGGAGCTCTGCGGGTGGGTTTCTAGTTTTGAGTCATTCATATTCTCCGAGGGGAGGCGCCCGGCAACTGCACGGACCCCACGTGCCCAGAATGACGCTTCCGGGATTTGGGCTCCCCACCTTTGAGCCCCTGGGTCCAGACCTGCCCCCACAGGACACCCCAAGGCCTCAGCTCTTCCCCCCGCTCTGTACATTAGAGGGGGTGGTCAGGACGGCCTCAGACTTAGCGCTCTGGTGGCCTTGCTGGGTTTCCAAGGACTCCCCGGCCCCATGGCTGCATGCGGCTGGGTCCCAAGGGGGGTCTGAGCTGGCTGGGTCCAGCTGCCTCTGGAGAATCATGGCCGGTGGAGGGTGGCGGGCACTGGGGAGACAGCGGCATGGGAGACCGCCGCAGTCCAGCCTCCAAGGGCACACGTGCATCGTGTCCCGTGGTGGGCCCAGGAAGGACGTGCGAGGGGGAGACGGGACCAGGGTGGGCTGTGTCTGCAGAGATGCTCCGGGCTTCTCCGTGGAGGGGAGACGGCAGGGAGGTGGGCAAGGCCCACGGCGGCGGGGACAGGAAGGGACCCCTTCCACAGCGCGCAGTCTCCAGGTCGGGCCGGGCAAACACAGGGCCCCTGGGGAAGTCAGGGGGGCTTCCTGGGGGTGCGTCAGATCCCAGGCAGAGGGAGACCCCTGCGGGCAAGGGGCGTGGGTTACGGAGCCCTGTCGGAAGCCCGGGGGCGGGCGGGCACCAGGTGGCGCTGCTGCCCGCGAATGCGGGCGTCCCTGGCCCCGGGCCCAGAGCGCGCGCGGGAGCCAGACCGCAGCGGGGAGCCCGGGAGGGGCCGAGCGTGGGCTCCGAGCGAGCCTGGTGTGTAAATGGTGGAAAAAAGTCACTGCAAACTGTGCTTTCCCGAGAGCCCGTGCTCCTGCCTTTCCTTCCCCGCGCTCGGCCGGACGGAGCCAAGGGCAGTGCCCAGGCCGGGCCAGGCAGCCCGCGGCCTCCCCGGGACGAAGCGATCTGCGGAACCGGCCCATTCAGCGCCTGCAAAAGCCATTTTGGGAGGCCGCCCCCTCCGCGGCCGGTGGGCTCTGCGCGGCCCCACGTGGGGCCTGGGGCTGGCTGGGGGCTTCCCGGGCCCAGGGCACCCCCGCGCGGGGGAGTGAGCGCCCTGTGTCCCGTGTGGGCGTGTGGGGGGCGCGTGTGCCCCGCGTGTCTGCTTGTGCGTGCCTCCGCGCGGCCACATGCGAGCTTCCCGCCTGCGACCCGAGGGCAGACCTGGGGCGGGTGGCGGGGACGCGGCAGGCCCAGACGTGGGCCCGGGCGGTCCCTCCCTGCGGGTTTTGGAGCCGTGCACAGACAGCCCCGGGGATCCCGTGCCTGCCGGTGCGGAGCAACCCAGGGAATTGTCCCGCGATGCTGTGGTTAAACCCCCGAGAGCCGAGCCGGGGCCCGGAGGCCTGGGGGATGAGGTCATCGCTCCTGGCTTCCTCCCTCGCTGTGGCCAAGGCTCCCTCAGCCCGGCCATGGTGACCCGGCCCTCCTGCCAGCTGCCCACCGCGCCCCCCCCCCCCCCCGGGGCTCAAGCTTCCCCGAGACCCTCCCGCCCTGCGGGCCCCCCGTGTCCCAGCAGCAGCAGGAGACTCCCCACCCCGGGACTCCAGACCCTTTGACAGCCCTTGACGGGTCCCCATTTCCTGGAACAAGGTCCAGGCTCTGTCCCCAGCCCCCCCAAGTCCCCCAGCCACCCCAGCCCCAGCACACCCCAGCTCCAGCTCCACAGACCCGCATGTTGGCAGCCTCAGCCCTCCCCACCCTTCCCCTGCCGGCAGGGACGGCAGGGCTGATTTTTGGGCTGGTGGAGGCCGTGGTGGTAGGCTGCTGTGCGCCCACTCTCTGCGGTGACCTTCTCTCACGCTGAGCTTGAGTTGCTTGTGGCCATGGTGTCGCTAACCCCGAGGTCGTCGTTCCTCAGGGTCTCCCTCCCACCCAGAGTGCTCTCCCCACTACCCGCCCCGCCACCGGCCGCCTCTCTCTGCTTTG